ACCAGGGCTACGTCTTTGTCGATGCGTCTGTATTTAGAGACGTGTTTCTCCCGGACTTTTACATGAGCGCTTGGCTGACGTCGCCGGTAAGGCCGCCGCCCGGGCCGGTAGGACGATGTCTGCGGTTTAAGTACAGCTCTGTCGGAACCAGTGTGAGAAGTCTGCGAGTGCTGAGAGTGGATCATGTGCCGACCATTCAGCCAAACCACACTTCTTGGCCTCGTGAGAACGAGCCAGGGTCTACAGAGATGCCGGCGCAGTCGAGAAACTTTACCGAAAATTTCGATAGTGTTGTGAATACCACCAGTCGGGACTACGTTGTCCACAAACAGAACATGACAGAAACACTGTGGGAAGCTCGCGACTCGACTGATGGTGCATGGAAGGAAGGCAAGATCTCTTTCAACACCGGCTTCGAGCACCGACTTGTGTTCGAGGTGGTGCCGCACCTTCCCTCGCCGGCCGGCCGAGCGTACGTCGCCATCGACGATGTTTCCCTCGCTGAAGGTGCGTGTGACAGCGACTGCAACTTCGAGAAGGATCTCTGCAACTGGATCAACATGGACGAGGGTGACGACTTTGACTGGCAGCTGGGCCGCGGCAGCCGGAGAGGCGTCACGGGCCCCATTAGAGACCAGAGCAGCTCACACTCGGTCAGCCGCGTCGGCGGGTACGCGTTCATCGACTCGTCTCACCCGCGCCGATCGGGAGACATCGCCAGACTGGAGAGCGCCGTCTTCGAGACGCCGGACCCGCTCTGTCTCAGCTTCTACACAAACATGTTCGGAGCGGGCGTGGGCCGTCTTTCAGTACGAGAGGTATCCGGCGGGGAGAACCCGACCGCCAAGGTGCTGTGGAGCGTCTCTGGAGGCTCGGGGTCGCCCCTCAGCTGGGAGCTCGGCAGGGTGACTGTGGCCTCGCCGAACCGCTTCATGGTCCAGCTGGAGGCGGAGATTGGCGAGCCGGACGCCGCCGATATCGCTGTCGACTCCATTCGAGTGGAGCCCGGAGCGTGTCCGACGGTGCCGGCCTCGGCAGGCCGTGTCGACGCCAGTTGCCACTTCAGGGACGACACGTGTTCGTGGGAACTGAGCAGCACCGGTCGGCGGCTGTGGTCGCGCGCGCCTGGCGGGCACATCGCTCTCGGGTCGCCGCCGCTCCAGCCGGCTGACCACTTCCTCAGCTTCGACGTGGACGGGTACGAACACCAGGCTGGTGCGAGGGACACCGTGCTGTCGCCGGTAATCCGCGCACGACCGCTGGCCTGTCTCAGCTTCTGGGTTTACGTGGCGTCCCACATCGCCAGCATGCCGAAAATCGGCAGCCTTCAAGTCCTTCACATCAACGCCACCAGCAACGACACCCGGGCCATCTGGAGGGTGAACAATCACCTGCGTCACGGCTGGGTGCTGGCCCAGGCACCGTTCCCGGCCGACACGCCCGTCAGACTCGCCCTGGAGGCGGTCCGCGGGTCGGGCGTCAGCGGCCTGCTCGGTGTGGACGACGTGGTGGTCCACGAGGGCGACTGTGCCGTCCTGCCGCCCGCCGCGGCCGTCTCACCGTTCGACTGCTGGTTCGACGACGGGGAGTGCCGCTGGACAGTGACGTCACCGGCGGAAGGAGCGGAGACCTGGCGCTCGGCGGCGAGTGGAGCGGGAATTCCGCAGCTTCTCGACCACACGCACCGCGTCGAGACCGGGTACGAGTACTTTGACCCGTTCAACCAGCGCTCCACGGCTCGGCTCGTCTCTCCCGAGGTGCCAGCTTCCACCCAGCTCTGCGTCAGCCTGTGGTACACCTGCCTGGGCGGTGTGCAGCAGGACGCATCGCTCTCACTGCGGCGCCAGCTCGGCTCTGACAACAGCACCACTGAGCTGCTCTGGCAGGTCACCCAGGGTCAGACGGGTCACACCGGCCGCCGCTACACGTGGCACTACGGCCAGGTCCAGCTGCCCTCCGCCGAGGACACGGCGCGGATCGTAATCGAGGCCATCGGCATGCAGGCCGGCTTTGCAATCGATGACGTCAGAGTGGTCAGTGGTGAGGTGCCGTGCCCGACCAGGCCCGAGTGGGGGCGCCCGGCGCCGCCGGAGTGAACTAGTGGTTCGTCAGACTGTCGCCAGGGGGATGCAGGTCGATTGAGGAACTCTGTTATAGGAGAACTCAGAGAACTCAGCACTGTGCTTTGCCTTCGGTTGACGGTGGTGATTGGTAAAGAAGTCATTCTGAAGCTTGGGCTATCCTGAGGGAGGTGAGCAGGCTTCGATTTATACGGCAGAAGATCAATATTGATTTGTGTAGGCATAATACAATAAATAGGAAAGCAGAGTTCAGCTTATATACCGGCGATGTGTATATACCGACAAGTGTCTACCGTCCTTGCAAGGTTATTGTTGACAGTGCATTGTGCGCATAAACCATTAAACCCCATGTTTACAGTTTCGGTGTGTGAATAGTTGGAGCTAATTCTGTAAAATACATTTTGTAACAGTACCAAAAGTCGTTATGCATGAGCATGTCATTTGCAGTAAGACATGCCAAAAGAGTGACCAGATGAAGCTGTTAACATGTGATACCGGTACTTTGGTATTGGTCGCAAGTACTTACTGTTATTTTTATTTCTTTTTTGCCATGGACTTATGTATGAACATAGCGCTCATAGCGTCTCAGATCTTCTCCACTGCAGACATCATCTGAGTGAGTACGAACATCATTACAACCTTAAGTCATTGTGCGATACATTTGGAATAATCCTTTTTAAAGGATACCTACCTATAAGTGTAAGAAGAAGCTACATCCAGGTCCTCATCTTGGCGCTGAACTAACTAAGAGAGAAATGTGTGCTCTTGCATGATAAACATCACATGACTGCAACGTCAATTAACACTGAAGCACAATTGACGACTGTATCATCAGTCACGTCGGTAATCGCATTCCACAGTTCACTAGTGGCTACCTTCCTCCATTTCGTGATAAGCTTGGCAGGTCAAATTTGTAGGTACAATATATCGAGTGCGCCGAACATTTAGAGGACTGCTTACTTCGCTGAATGTGGAGTGTCTTGCCGGCACACCACTCTTCGGGCAGTTAGTTGTGCTTGCATGCCTAAATCTGGGCTGATGTCATCAGCGTAATAGCACGTTCCGGAACAGATGTCACATCGAAACGGCATGCCTAGGCTCCAGTAATCATCAAAATGGTCCTTTCATGTCTGATTTGATGCTTATCCATCCGTCGTATTCACTCTTAATCGTTTTAAAAGCCCACAGAAAAGCCGATCGGTAAGACGGAGCCGAGCTTTGTGTCATGCGGTACAGCATAACTACAGGCGTTTACCACTAACGCCATCTATGTGGACTAGGCAGTACTTCAATATAATGTGGGGTCGCTACTCGCGCTGTCAGCTGTTGAGTTACCTTCGCGCGGAGGAGTGGGGAGGGGGGAGGGGCAGTGGGACAGAAGAACTTACCTTTCAGGGTGTCCTTGTTCTCACCGCCTCCCGATGTCTTTTGGCATAGCTCCAGTACCACCGGCACATTTTCCATTGCCGAATTACCAGCAACTTCAATTACTGTGGCTTGAGCAATATGCCTTATGCACGACGAATGCCAAATATGGCGTGTCTACAGCTGATTCAGATTACATTACCATGCCTCGACCTCAAGCTGGAAAGCGACAGATCTTCTTTCTTGAACGCACGTCTGCTCGTGACCAATCTATTCCACTCAGAACACACCGTCCATACCCACAAACTCAAACAAAACACACGGCCGCGAGCTCCCATTGCAGCGTCTCTCAGCACGTCCCCCTTGCCCTGCCGCCCGCCGCGCTGCCTCGCCGCCGCCGGCCGCTCGCACTAGTCACGTGACCAATCGCCTGAGGGTGGACGAACATCAGCGCCGCGGTTCGCTCGACGACTGTCACCACTCGGGGCGGTATATAGATAGGGCTTTGCTCGGGACTGCCTTAGGCGGGCGAGCACAGGTGCCTCCTCTCGTTGCTTGAGACGGGATGGACTTTTTTGCCCCACTGAAGGTTTAGGTTTTTCCTTGGATGGACTTTTAAGCTGAATAACTTTAATTCGAAACGAGTCACTGACAACATCGATGCAAGTTTAACCATATTTCTTAGTCGTTATGAAACTACAATAAAATGATGCAAAAATAAAGAAACCATTAACGAACACAAATCAGAGTGTCTTTAGTCTTTACGCAAACCGATCGTGGATTGTTGATATGATGTGTGACCTCTATTAGGAAAAGTGGTCAGGTTATTCAGCGTCCCTCTGCGGAGAAAAATAAATGTGGCTCGGTAATTTATGATTGTTGACGAACCATCTGCCGAACATAGCTTGCCAAAGTTAAATGGTGGCACCTCACCAATCTTCGCCTGTCCGGAAATCGTTATTCTTGTGAAGATAACGTAACTGATTATGACATTTCCCATTAAAATTTAATTGATAAAACTTTTAAATTTTGCTTCATGGATTTTAGAAATCATGTTCTTGATATCACTATTTCATACTATCTTTCGCTCCATTGTCGAAGTTGATGGGTCTGTTAGTCAAAGATTTAAATCGACTTCAAGAGCTTGGAGAACTGTATCAATTATACTCGTCTTGAGTGTACGGAAAACGCACAGTTGTGGCTTTCAAATTATATGCTTCACACAGCATAGGTAAGTACCTATAACGTTTGGGATTACCTTATGCGATTACGAAATGTACATACGCTTCTTTTAAAATTACTGAGCGAATTTTCCGCTTTGGAACTCCCTTTCTTATGTCATATTTAAAAACCGCTTAGTTTTAGGCCGTCTGACGTCAGCACTCAATAAATTCATGAAATACATGCGCATTAGGTATTGTGATAGGTACATACTACCTTGTCTGTGACCGTGTGCTTATCGGTGTTCACGAGCAGAAATACGTCCTGACGCGTGAACAATACTTGTCTGCTCTCTGTCTCGGTCGGCAGTCCATACAAAGCAAAACCCTCAAATTCTTCTCCATATTTATATATAATCCCTTTCAATGTACACAAACGCATGTCACGGGCAAATCACAATGCATCGTGTAGACCTGCCACTACCATGATAGCTGCAGAACACTGTCACCACCCTCAAGGTCGCACGGTATATAAATGGACTAGCACTAGCTCTGGCGTTGGCGAGGTAATATTATCGTGTCTTCAGGGGGCCGACCCGGCCGTACGGCGGGCCTGCAATGCCCAGTGCGAGATTCAATCACATGTTGATGCGCTCTCGCCAACGGCAGCGACAAGATCAAGGATCGGGGCAGATCGGGAGAGGAGGGCACTTTACTTTGTTTTTCGCAACGTTGGATCAGATGGAATTATGGATAGAGCTGGAGATCCATAAAATCGTAAAGATGCTCTTTTAGCGAAATGAAAACAGAAGCATCAGGCACCAAAATACTCCATATTTTGGTGGTAAATTGCGGTAAATTGCGATGTGATTCACTTAGATTCTTTTGCACCGGACACACACTCGAAAAACTCTGCCTGCCTTGAAAAATGTGACAATTCGCCTTGAAATTCTCCCCAACAACTGTATGTTTGGGTTAGGAAGTTGTTGCAAGATAATTTACTGTCGTATGAAAGTTTCTATGACTATACTTTGCCGATTGTACCTAGCTAGGTATTTTGGTGCAAGAGGCTTCGGATCAGAAAAAGCGCAGGTGACATAGGATGCTCAGCCTGGGAGACGTGGGACACGGAAACTGGTACCGCCAAAGCTATAAAGCCTGGCCAATCAGCAGTACCTCCGCTCAGAACAATTCACCTCCGTCGCGAGCAGCAGCCTCAGAGACCACCGCCAGGTGATTCCGTATGCTGCGCGCGACAGGCGACTGGCTTACGGAGAACGCTGACAGGATGCCACACCCTCGTTTAGCTTATTTGGTATGATAGATCGTCTGACGACTCTGAGAGACGAACATTTACCGGCTATTTGTTCTCATGATTCACGTCAAATTCGTACTCTGACCCTGTATCGTAGCGCCTCTCAACAACAGAGGACGGGTAAAAACCGATAGCGCTCTCTGTGAGACATACATGCCACATAAAACGCTGACAAACTTAACATTTACAGGCAGAAAAGGGTAAAACGAGAACTAAACACAAAGCTGTAGCGACACCCACAAAGATTCAACTAGCACTACAAAGCCCATACAAGCGGCGGCCGGAAGACACGGGACAAGGAGGACCAGTAATTGCTGGTTAATTAAAATAGCAGCTCGTTATCAAAAGATCAGGGGTTAAAATGTACACAAACAACAACTTACTATGTTTTAGAAGTCGGTTTATTGCAATATAGCCCTATGAAGGGAAGCGACCTTCAATAATTTTGGGAGATCTATTACGTTTAGCCTAGAACTAAGCATGATTCGTCGTTCAGACTTGTAAAAAGTTCTTGTAAAAGTTGGTATAAAGTTCTTGCAAAAATGAGACTTAAAGTGGAAAGAATGTCAAGTTTTGTTCCTTTGGCATCCTCTCGGCTGTCGTCTCTCCCGGCCGCCTTACGGTAAAACATAAAACAACGAACAGCCGACAAACACAAAACTCAATAAACAGGACTACAAAATGTACATTCATGGCAACAAAGCATGGCGCCACTGAGCCACCGTTTGCGGCAGAGCTATAACAGGGCTGCGCCGGGCAGTCAGCGCGCGCAGGCGAGCGCACGTGGCACGTGGCACGAGCGTGGCGCGCGCGCGGGGCCGTCCTGCTTGGGACGGAGCGGGGCCGGGGCCGGGGCCGGGGCCGGGGCGCCGGCACTGGCACTGTGTGGCGCAGACAGACGGGGTCACACACGCCACCTAGCCAATCTAGGGGAGAAAAGAGGAGCCGTGTTAGCGACACAAACCGACGGAACGCGCCAGAGAGACGCGGGGCCGGCGGGCGACAAGCAGAGGCGACAAGTATAAGAAGAAAGAGAGAGAGACGATTGCACAGGGACACGGGGTTAAATGTGCAGTGACGGTGATAACTAATGACCAACAGTGGAATGGCAAGCGCAACAGAGACACTGTGTGCCCCGGGAGACGACGGTCGACACTGAAAGCAAACGGAACCGGTCCAGTTCAAACGAGAAACGAAATAAAACTTATTACGGATAACGGATTACTACGACAGAGATGCGGGACGATCGCCCCTGGAAGACAGACACAGACAAACAGAAGAGACGTAAAGGTTTGTACACAGTTTAACTATTGACATTAAAGGTTTACTATTTGGTTATGGTTGACGTAAAACATCGTACAAGACGCTATTTCAGTTCCATTACAAAATAACATTGATGAGGTTAGTGATGATCCTGCAATTAGTGAATCTTGTAAGAAACGTATCCTGAAAATGCAGCATGTTACATGTAGGGCTATATTTTATGTAAAACAGTACACTGTACAAATCTTTGCGGCACACGACCACGCTATTCACATCGACCATTACAAACAAAACGACTCTCACTGGCCACCATGATGGCACCACCTGAACTGGGCGTATATTTGGCATGACTAGCTTTCACCCAATGGGCGCGCACATTTCGATACAATATCGCGGAGCATGGGTGGCATATTTGTACCAATACGCTGGTCACGGAGCCAGCATCTAATGCCACCATCAGAGACACCTTCAAGCTCATTGCATCATGTTCAGCATCATCACCGGACCCTCTAGCACACCGCCAAACCGGAAACACGCACAGAGACTCGACGCTCGCGCACGGCATTTGACATTGACTGCATCGCCTGAGGGCAGACCTGACAGCTCGCGCCTCCGAGCCCGGAGGAGCGCACTCGAGAGACTGTTCGGGCATCTCTGCCCCGTCAGCGTAGGTCTCTCGGATGTCAGTATCACAGAACGGACCAAAACTTACTTGCACTACTCGGCCGGCGGCTAATATGGCTTCGAGGCCTCTTTGGAGCGTTTCAGTTGCACTTTGAGCCGCTTGGTGCCGATCTGGAAGCCGTTCATGGCCTGAATGGCTGCCTGGGAACTGCTCGGGTTGTCGTACGACACGAAGCCTGAAACATTGAAACGGACGTCAAAAGGCGATTGAGGTCATCGAAAATGCAGCGAAGCATGATAAAGTCGTCTTATTAAAAATCAATGTTATACTAGAATATAAGGTGCATTTTGCGCACATTAAAATAGAGCAAAGACGCTTGCTTTAATGATGCCTTCGCAAACATTCACTTATTCTTAATTAAAGGCAAAAGAACTCCCGGACTATGCACATTACACATTACGAGTTGAGTAGTAATAGACAAATATATATATATTGAGACGGGTTACACAGCACATTGGGTGCTGTGTAACCCGTCTCAATTACACATTACATTCCATGTACTGTGTCTCATAAGAAATACGCCGGCATGTGCCAAAGAAAAGGGCTACCAAGACATTTTTCGGACACAAGAGTTTTCTAAAACCTTTTTGAACAACCATATCTCACCGAAGCACTTGGACAAGTTGGTCTGTTTGTCGATGAAGACTTTGGCCGATATGACGTTGCCGAAGGGTAGGAAGGTCTGCGCCAGGTCGGAGTCGGTGAACTCCTGCGGTAGGTGGTAGATGAAGAGGTTGCAGCCGTCCGGACCCTCCATCTGCCGACCGGCCGCGTTGCTCGCCGCCGCCAGCGCGTTCTGCGTGTACGCCGGGTACCCTGGGGGCGGAGAGGGGGATGTTGTGCAGATGCCGTGTCGCATGGGCAGGGCGAGTGGGTTTGGAAGGTTGAAATTTAGACCTCAGGGAGTGAAGCCCCCGATGAAGGCTTCGAAGCCTACGCCAGTACTTCTTATTGATGTTTTAGACACTAAAAATCACTTTAAACGGTCATCAATGACCTAAAAAGTGAGGCATCAGCTTACAAAGCGCCACAATCCAGAATACTACCCTTCCTTTGGGGCTCGTCTTTCTATCGGACGAGTATATTTATCAAAATTTGCCAGGTCTTTTCTAGCATAAGATACTCACCTGCATACTGTTGTAGCGCCGAGAAGCCGCCGAGGGACTCCAGGCCGGAGCCGGCGCCCAGGCCGTTCAGTGACGTCATAGAGCCGGCTCCGAGAGCCAGTGACGTCACCGGCAGTGAGGAGACGGGGCTGGACTGGGCCAGCGTGCCTGTCGGAGCTGCGCGTTAGTCCATAGCGGACAGGGGCTTTTTACAGAGAAGGATTGGCAGATGTCGGTATCTCTGATCTCCGCCCGTATTCAGGCTGTTCCAATAATTGCGTATTTTTGGCAGTAATTTAAAGACATACGATGAATGTTTAGTGCTAAGAAACGCTTACTTGATTTGCAATGTCCATGGCTGAAAGGATGCTGAATTAATGGGGTGTTATTTGGTAGTATTAGGCATTCACGCATCGATTGTAGATAAACGGTAACACTGAAAACAGGCATGCAAGATGTAAGGCTAAGGATTCATGCATATGTTTGGTTGGAAATGGCATAAGCATTCTCGTAAAGTTTGGCAACAAATAGCGTTTTTAATTCGTTTGAAAACGAGTTAATTAATTAAGTTTTTATCGAAACAGAGCTAAGTTATTCATAGAAAGGGATGACATATTTTCTATTACTTTAACAATAAACCTTAAATATTTAGACATTTAAATTTTAAATATTTAGACCGCAAAAAACATATTTCCAATAGCAAGTGAAGCTACATTTATATGTACGTTCCTTTTTGTTTTTGAGCACATGACGTGGGCTTTGGTGGCACCAGTCTATAGACCAATTTTTGGCGACTCAGTTGCCCTCGCCGATGCATAGGTAGGTTCTCCACACAAATAGCACATGACATTTATATCTAAGTTACCGCTACTCTCTGTATCTATTAGCAGCCTAGGTGAAGCTGATTAAACCGGCACCCAGCCTGGTGAGCCCACACAAAGCGCTGGTGAGAGGGGGAGAGAGAGGGAGAGAGGCTGCCACTGCGCCCGCTCTACCTACCACACGCCAGGCCCGGCAGGCCTATACTGTTAGAGTTCATAGCTGCCAGAGGCGCCAGGCTGACGGTAGTCAAATCTACGAAACGAAGAACACGTGAGGTCAGGCGCGACAGGTCACCCGAGGTCAGAGCGGCACGCGCGCGCACGCACACAAACACACAAACACGCACACACAGAGGTCAGAACCGAGCGGTTCGGATACGATAAGGCACGGACGAACCAGCATGCACCAAAAGCGGCGGTCAGACGGGGTCAGAATACCGGTCAGAAACACGAAACGTGACCGTTACTGTGTACAGAAGCTCATGCCACAGGAATACGAAGATATTAACCGACAGAAGTAGCAAAGCAGCCGACCAGTATATGTCGCTAATCTACGCCTAGACAAGGCAGCTGGTGACGTGGTTTCATTGAGCTTCGACATCAAACACATGGTAATGTGGGCTTGAGGTCAGATATTTTGCTTAGTTCTTTTCATTATTTTCGAGCTGAGCTATGAGCATTATTCAAAAGCCGAATATAGCTTATTGTCATGAAAATCGATGATGATTGGTAACGAAGCGTATCCATTTCAGAAAAGTAAGTAGTAACAGGGTTCTATGGTGTAAGTATCTTTCAAAGTTAGCCACCAAAGCGCATCGGTGGCGTTCCATCCATCAACCCTGAATGATTACCAACTGAGGTCACCTGACAGGAGGCTGGAGCACCCACAGAGCCCTCAACAAACCAAACACGGCACATACACACAGACATACAAACACACCCACCAGGGACAGAAAGCACCGCGCGGGACGACACACGGCATCGACAGAGTGCAGAACGGCCGCAGACCTGTCAGAACGTCTGCCGAGACCGGGGCCGAGTCGACGGTCCCGAACTACCGAGATGTCGTGCAACAGAAGCCGAGGGAAGAGGGAACTCACTGGGTACCGATCCCTGCAGGCCGCCCATGAGCGACTGGAGACCCGAATTGGACAGGTCGGTGGTGGAGCCGCCCGTGCTGTGACCCAGGGTCATTCCGGAGCCCGCCAGACCGGCCAGACTCTGCAGACCTGCGCACAGAGGGGAGAGGGTGGCCGTCAGTGGAGACACAAGTCACCGAACGAATGATTGCCACACGCTGTTCCCATTTCACGTATTGACTGTCCCGCTGAACAATAACAACACATAATGTATGCATGGTTCTGATTTTCGAGAAAAGAATTATTTTAATTAGGATTACAGTATAGAGAACATGGAGCGTTGCTTGGGTAAATCAGTTAGGCAAGTAGAGATACAGGCACCCATTTGCAGTGACAACAGACCTGCTTCGAAATCGATGCGTTGAATATTGATTTAAGGCTCTAATCAATGACAAGGAAGTATATAATAAATCGTTCGTGATTACGGGTTCGCTCGAGTCCAAGCACGACTGAAATAGTGCGTGCTCAGCAGGCGTCTTCATACAAATAAAGAAAGCCGACGGGCGAACACAAACAATCCCTTTTTATGGACCATTATTCGCGTTAATTGGAGGCCAATAGGCAGCTGCTTGCAGCAGGTGCTCCAGTGGATGTGTGCTCCACTCCAACGCATCGAAAGCTTTTCATTATGTCTCCCAATCAGTTGAGTTCAGCTATGTCGATCGTAAATGAACCAACTGGTCTAATTATCTAACAATGGTTATAATTCGCCGCTAATAAAACCGTTTCTGTTTCGACTAACTCATCTTTTCTGCCTTCCACTTTCGTGCTCGCTACATGAGTAAAAAATACCTATACGAGCTTATAGCTATTTCATGTTTGTCGCTGATCAGATTTTCCCTTCACCGACGGGCCACCCACCGCTGGTTACGGGGGCGACCGACGGGAACGACCTGGCAACGGCGCTACGAACAGGGATCAACGTCAATCCCGGGTCAACAGAGGGATCACCGTGGCAGCACATCACGTCATATGACGTCATGTGACGTCCACATACGTCACAGGATGTAAGGCTGGCCAAAAGAGCTTCCGGGCTCATGCTGGGATGCACGAGTGAGGTCCGACGGAAGAGATTTCAAGGATGTGCGTTTGGCAGATGGTCGAAGGCAAAAGTTAACGATAATGGGCAATAGCTAAGAGGGGAGAAAAGATGGTGAAAGCAAGAAAGCAAATATAGGTGGGACATTTCATTTACAACTAATGCAACAATACTCAACTACGGAATGTTCGCATGCAGACTTGGCTGCGCTTGGTAGGGAACAGTTGAACTGTGCTAGATGGAGTAGCCTAGGATCGAGCCGGGTCGATGCCGAATCCGCCGCGGTGCTGCGGTTAGCGATGCCAAGTCGAAGACAGCCTGATGGCTGACAGGAGTGGAGTGGGACGGTCTGGAAGCAATCTCGCGGCGGATATTGGGATTAAAATCGGCTGTCGGGAGGAGCGCCAACAGGTGCGGCACGCGACAGGCCGCCATCATCACAGGACATTTATCAGAGCCGGGTCTGATGAACGAGTGGCGCCGCCGGATCTGGATCTCATCCAGCCGGCCGCCGACCATCGTCCGCGGCCTCTAACTTCTCCGCCAGAGCGAAATGAGGCACCTCGAGATAAGCGATGGCGCCGAGCGGCTATTCCGGCGTTAAATTGAGATCACTTTGGTGGAGTGTCTGACAAGGCTGTCGTCTAAGTTGTCCGAGTCGCATCGCTTCTTTGCGATGCAGGGCGACTTTTTGAGCGGTGTCACCGGAACTCCAGTCATCAGCTCGAGCAGTTGACAGCGGTGGGCGCCAGTGGAGGCGCCACGTGTGGTCGGGGCACGGGTTGAGCGCCTGTGACGGGAGACCCACCGCGGCGAGGCTGTCCGTCAGAGTAAGGAATGGCGCACTACACCGTCCACCAGACCGCTGAAGACGAGACTGATGGTGATGTCGGTGTTCACTCGGGGACTACGCCGACACGCCGACGTGGGTGGTATGTGGCACGCACTATGGCTCCATGAGGGGTGGAACGGTGGGACAACGGTCGTTCCGACTCCCGAGGGCTTTGTGGAGTTGGTGTTTAAAGTTCTGATATGCTCAAGTGATGGAAAATGTTTATTGTTTATCGTCATTAACTCCTTCCGATGGTGCGCAGGATTCAACGACGACCTCCTCATATACTGTAGAATAGTTTCTGGTCAAAAGGCTTTTCAAAGAGCAATGAGCATCAAGTTCTTACTTTTAGTTCCGTTCTACATAGATCTGCGCGATGACTTAGACGCATCAACCACGTCATTTCGGGTAAGGTCCAGTATCAACTGGGAGACAGACCATCTAAGGACTAGGTCACCTAAGGTCACCATGCGTTGGGCGGTCCTCCCAGGTCTGGGTCAGAGCTCGTTCAGGCCAGAGACAGCTCTCGGTCGGCGCCGGAACCCCTCCGTGTGTGAAGTGACAGCTCGAAGAGCACCCCTGGCGCGGAGCCAGCACATTGACAGGATAGAGATGTCGCTTGCCCTGATGGCTAGGAGCCGGTGACAAATAACCTGTCCACTAACGAGCCGCTCAACAGGTCAAGAGGTCACCGTCTGAGGGCCGGCCGCCGACCAACTGTCCCGGTGATCGAGAGCCAGCCGATTCTGAGCACCCCCGGGAGGGAGCGCATCAGCCAAGGCGCCTATGAGAAATGGCTGCTTGTTACGACGATGATAGCATCAAAGATAAACTTTACCACAAATTTAGTTCTTTAAATAGCAGACTAGACGTAAAATGTTTCAATAAGAATTAAGTTTTTACAGTATGGCTCTAAAAATGAAGCGATGGCATCAGGCCATTGCAGTTAATTGTCGCCCGTTAATGCATTCACGTGCCAATGCGGGTGGGGTGTCCTGTACGCCAGAACGGAAAACCCTCTACACTCACAACAGGTGGTCCCATTTAGCCCATTATGTCACCGGAAGATGAGACAATGGCTGAAGAGGCAGCCGGCGATTAGAGAGCAGTCGACCAGATCGCTAACGGGCCCGAGCTGCGGGAGGGGCGGGGTGGGGTGCAACCTCGCCCGAGATGTCACCGCGCCACTGCCGCAGATGACACACTGGTGTGGTGACACAGGCGTAGTGACACAGGTTGGGTGACACACTCGCAGAATCGCGACCGGACATGCCGCTGATGAGAGGGAGCCCGAGCCATAGGGTTCTTAGAAAGGCTATCGACACGCAAAAGATAATCCGGCCTTCCCAGAAAAGTGATGTCAAGGAATTGGACGTAAAATCTAGGTCATTCGCTTAATTCTAGGTCCTGTCCAAGTGTGATGTTAAGCTTCTCCGAATCCTTAGTTTCGGTAGAAATATGGGAATATCTCAGCAGTGTGTGTGACCTCAGATCTTCGGCGAGGCTCGCTGACTACGTACCGTGGCCATTTGAAAGCCCTGATGAGAGCAGTGGCGATGTGGAGAGGCCGCCCATGCCTCCGATGGGTGACAACGCCAGGTTGTTGCCTGTGTTCAGCTGCTGCAGGAGCTGAAACAGAACGAAACTTGATGAGACATTGTTGCAGAGACAGTGTTGGTGGAAGTATAGTTGCAATGACGACAACTGCTGTGGTAGAGGGCGACCGCGGCGGCGCGCGGGGTGAAGGCGGCCCCCGGGTCCTCGGGCCAGGCCGGGTCGACATCTGGCAGGGAGCGCCGCCAAAAATCAGAGCGCTCACGCCAACGGTGCTCATTAATTAGAAGGGCTCGACACTGTCGGCGGTGGCGGCGGACTGGCCAGGGTGGCGGCGGGGGCGGCGGCGCACACTCGTCACACGTGGAAACTATTTTTACTGCGCGGACGACAACTACAACTGTCTCTGGAACGAGCGGCGACTGTCTCATTATGCACGGCCGGCCAGGCACCAGACGCTAATGACAACATGGTACACACTTCCGGGACTTCCGCCCTGAGAATGCATGGCACTGAAAAGAACTTACAAAACGGGACAATTTGATTGCTTACTCATTTTCTACGTTCTCCGGATAACGCAAGTACAACGTCGCTTTATTTCAAGGCAGCTTTAGTGCTTAAGTGCAGTCCCAACGCGTTCAATTTCTCAACAAACGTTACCTCCATCAACGCAATGAACGGAAAACGTATTAACTATTACACTCGCATTAATCCCGCCACCAAAATAATGGTGAACACACCCAAGAACCACAGCTCCATTAGTCCACAGTCAATGTTTCCGCTCACAAATTGCGCCTCCCAGCGGTAATGGTCACAACATTTGGCGCGGTGTGCATAACAGTTCGTCAGACAGGTGCCGTATGGTGCCACTTGCGCCGCTGGCACCGATCCCGGGGGTGGACCCGCCCCGGGCCAGCGGGCGCTGTACCGCACACCCCAGCCACTCTGCTATTGTTGGCGCCACCCGGTCACGACACACTGGAATGTGTGGCGACCAAACAACAGCGGCGATCAGAGGAGAGCTGGCTTGATGCGCTATGAAATCAATGGAAATGCATGCATAAAAAATAAGACGGTGCTTTAGCAGAGGCAATGCAAATCATATGTAAATTCTGTATTTCCTTCTATGCTCTTCAAAGTCAGGTTTTCTTTACGAAGGAAAAACACCAAAATGTTTTGAGACAGGAGTTAGGAGTTAGGACTCACGTTTATGCTCGGGCTAATCCATTTTGTGACATCTTTTGTACGTTTCAGATTACCAGAAGTTTAAAAGTTTCGATTAATGTTCTTTTGTATGGATACAAAAACTCTTGAATGTACGACGCTGTTGCATATCGCATGCCATATTCAGAGTTCGCTATCCAGTGAGACAGCCTTAAACACAGTGAATCCTTTAGAGCCAAGGGGTGTGAGAAATTTGTAGTGTCGGTTTTAGACTTTATTTGCAAAAAAAAAAATGTATCACCACTAGCCACATCATCAAACGAACCGAGTCAGCTTTGCAAACCGCATCATAAATTAAGCGCTGACCATATAGGAACAGTCGGAAGAGACACCCACCGCAACAACAACCAGGCATTGACCTTCGCAGTTGGCAGCTCTGCGGTGCCCGGGTACAAATAAGGCAAACACCACGTATGTACAGCAACAGCACTGACCGGTTGTAAGCCTTCAACTGCAGAGGATGGGATGGAGAGGAGGGACGAGGATTTTAGCGCCCGGTCCGTGGGATTAGCTCTGCACTTTGTGCCGTTTGCACCGCCGTCACTTCACCAGATTGTGGTGGAATCAGAGAGACGGAGCGAGAGACAAGCATGCGGACCTTTAAAACGTGACCAGATAATCAGAAGAATGCAGAGGGTATTATGACAGAGACTGAAATAAACCAGTTCATATTGCGTAGAAGACCGTCAATATTTCGGATTTGCATCGTTTATCTTGGTCGTGTTTAACCCGCGCCCTGATGGGGTCTGCCGAGCAACGGGGGGGGGGGCATTTTGGCCCCCCCCCCCTAAGATCTCGAGAACCACGCAACATAGCGACAAGCGGTAAACAGCGTTGGATAGCCCCAACGGGGAACTACCTTGTGACCCAATTTCATTGACCTCGGTCAAACCGATGACGTCACAGGTCAGGTCAAAGGTCGAATTTTCACCGTTTACAGGCATTTCAAGAAATGCGTTGTAAAATCGAGTAAAATGCATTTCATTGAAAATCATCGATGGGGAAATGTTCATCAAACACATATTTTGCTATTTGAGGTCACTGATACCAGGTCAGGTCACAGAGGTCAGGTCACGGGGGGGGGGGGGTCACAATATGAAAGTGTCGTGTGATACATGTTTTATGGTCCATTTGACATGGCAAATGCGACTATGTGGGTCAGGCAGACTTTTGGGCCAGCTTAGGTCACGTTTTGGTCAAGGTCAGGTCAAGGTCAGGTCAAGGTCAGGTCAAATTAGGTCAAATTTCAAAGCTAATATTTTTGCATAAAATGGGTATCGATGCGATGCAGCTCATCAAGGGGAGTTCAATGGTGGTCTCCGTTCTGCGCTACGACGTCTAGAATTGCTAAAAAATGAGTTCAAAAATTTGATGGCATCAATTTTTAACAGTTTTTTCGCTATAACTTGGCCAAAAAAGAGGTATCGATCTAAAATTTGGTATGTATATCGAAGAGCGCAGGGACTATCACATATATTCCGGTTTATTCGAAATTCGAAAAAATTAGTTTTTCTAACAAAATCAATATTTTATTTTTGAGAGTCATAATCCCAAAATTTCGAAAATCCGAGATAGCAGTTTTGTAGCGCCGTCTTTTTTCTACACAACCACAAAAAGAACTTTAAAATTGCTTGTTAACTGTAGAATTGGTGAGCGTTTCAAGATGTCATGTTTTTTGCTCATTTTAACTCGAACGTGACCTCAGTTTGACCTCAATAACTCCTGACCTGAGGTGACCTGTGACTTGAAATTTTGTGTGAAGGTGTCAAATTGATGCCCGGTAAGGTACCAAAAATTTGGCGGCGCTGCGCGCCGCCGTTTTCTCGCTATTTAAGAAAACCCACAGGGGGGGGGGGGCCAAAATGGCCCCACCATCAGGGCGCGGGTTAATCTCAATCGCCCTTCTGTTTTAATTGGGCTCGCATTTGTTTGGTATAGTTAGCTCGGACCGTCTCTAATTGCAGAGAATTCCGTAATATCTACGCAGATCCTCCCATCTCACCGCCCTTTTCATTCCTTCCCTCCCTTCGTCGACTTGTATCCGCCCTGTTTTCGCCCACCCTCGTAGTGAGCCGGTCTTGATAAGCCCTGTACTCCGATTCATCGGCCAGTACCCGCCCCTGTTTTGGCCCACCCTCGTAGCGGGCCGGCCCCAATCAGCCGTGTGGCAATGCGTGCCACTCGGCGTCGTCGCGATCACATCTCCGTCCTTCCGGAGCCCAGCACGACTCCCAGCCGGCGCCAGCCAAAACATCAGACCCATCACAGGGCAGCCGCATTGTGCGCCCGGCATCAGCCAGACAAATAAACGCCGCTTACCCTGGCCGGGAGGGTAAACAGGGACAGGTGGCGCCAGGCCGGCCCGCGGGGCCACGCTCTGTGCCGCTATACCGCCCACAGCGCTCCTATGGCACTTATATGCCACCTGTATCACCTCGAGCCCACTCTACGCCAGTTCTGCACCGCCCTAGCCTGCCCTACACTGCCCTAGCCGGCCCTATCCCGCCCAACCCCGCCTTTTCTCACCCCACCCCTCCCCACTCCTGGAGGACGGGCCGCCGCCCAGATTCGCCCCGGGGGTTGTTTACACCGGCCGCGCAATAACGTCGGTGTTTATTTTCCAGAGACGTTATCACGGCGCATCAGGGAATGGCGTGATGGAGCCGGTCCCCGGGCGCCCATAAGGAATATGTGGGAGGAAGGGGAATGGTACTGATATCGGACTTGGGGTGAGAGGCATGTAGAGATATCTTGACAGGAAGACATCGTGTCACATCAGAGATAACTTTGCGTAGAAGGAATTAAGGAAAAAGTTGTTTGCAAATCGAAAATAAACTAAGTTGTAGCTCCTTGCGCCAGGCGCTGTTCTAATAAATCACATGGTAGGCTTGAACATGTTCTAGAAATAGCTAATTACCTCGAATAACTCACTCCAAGTGATAACAAATGCGAGTGCCACTGCACTCGGCAGTAGCTCACCGGAAGGAGCACTAATTGATCAGCATGTCGTCTCTAGGATGCGCGGCATACCGGCGGAGGTGTGGTCAGGTCACCTCATTAGACCGAGAGGCCGGCGACGATGGAGCGGTCTCACACACACTAAGCAGGTGCCGAGTGGCCCAGCACAGCGGGATGGCGGGAACAGGACGCATCGAGAGGACGGCAGGACGGGTGACAGGTGCGGCCCTCCGGCACCTACTTCACACCCAGGTGTATGGCCCTTCCGAGCCCTCCAGCGGCCTCCCGCTGGAGGGCTCTTCTCTTCGCACCCAGCTGACATGTGCAGCCCTCCCGAGCCCTCTCTTCACCCTCCTCGCACTCCGGTGACAGGTGCAGCCCTCCCGAGCCCTCCCCCAAGCCCTCCTCGCACTCTGGTGACAGGTGTCGCAGCCGGCGCGGCCGCTATTTTTGGCTCCACACAGGGCCGAGCGGCGCACAGTACGCGGCCAGCGCCTGGCGACAGTAGCAGGTGAACACGACACGGCTCATTGGGACTCCACGGTCCAGGATGGAATGGCACATCTACGCGTGTCAGTTGTTGTCTATTGGAATGGTTATACTCCGCTTTGTCTCCTGAAATTTCAGACCTTGTCTTCGGTGTTATGGTTTGCTTACGGTTCGCTTTCCACGAAGTCGTTTTCTTCTTCCAATATCCTGTTTTAACCCGACTTATCCCGTCATGTCCCGTTCCTTTACGCTCCATCACGTCCCGTTCCGTACCGCGTCTTAATCCTCTCGTCCTATCCCGTTCTTCTCTTCTTCTATCCTTCTATCCCCGCCTTATCCTGTCCCTCCACCATCCCTAACTCCCGTGTCTCATTACTCCCACCCTCCCCTCCCTCTCCCATCCCCCTCCGCCCACTCTGATGGTTCCCAGGACAGATTGGCGGCGATCGGCCGTCCGCCGACCGCGGCACTCTCTGAGATTGATGACGGCCCGATTAGTTCGGTATGGCACCTATGCCGAGCGTCTGCCTCCCGTCCCAGTCCTGACAACCGCCGAACGCCCTCTCTGCCCCCCCTCCCTCCCACACACAGGGAGGGGAGGGGGTGAGAGGGGGTGGAAGAGCTGACGTGTGTCTCAGGGATGCAAGGTCAGCCGGTAGACTGATGATGTAGAGAGGAGTAGATCTGATAGTTACGGAGTAGGCTGTGCAGAAATGGGTGCAAGGATGGCTGAGCTCAACTAAGACGGTAAAGTCTGTTTGAAGATTATGCGTTATTGGCGCTACATCATACCAGTCCAAAGGCAAGAGGAACTTCATTAATGCGAGCTTCACTGCATGGACATGGACATTGTTAAGCGTTCATTGACCTTCACTGGCAGCTAAGATCCGCAAATCCTGGTTAGATCGCGGACAGAATATCAAGATACAGGATACTTGTTTATGATTCAGCTCTCGTCCAAACCTGAAAACACACCGGTGACTGCGCCGGCGACACATTTTACATGACGGCGGCAGGCAATTCACCGTAGCTTGGGTATCACGTGACGTGCGCCTATGCCACTCGGTGATGTGATACCGGGTATCACGTGACCTGTGGCCCACCCCACTCAGACTCACCGCGAGGTACTGCGGGTTGAGGGCGGCCGAGTTGACGCCAGACGTGTTCCACAGGTTGGTGGCCAGACCCTGTATCCGTTTGGCATCTTTCTCCTTCTGCGTGTCGGCGAACTTGACGACTAGAGGCGCCGAACAGCCCTGTCGAAAAGCAGCCAACAGGTAAGAAGCCTATCTAGATGTCCTGTTAGAAGGAGTTCACGGTGCAATAGCCAATAAAACAATACGTGTGCGACCTACTTTGACTCATCAACGTGTTCTATGTGGACAGTGATACCGGTAACCTCTATCGCAAGCATTCCTAACAAGGACTTGCGTCTAAGATCAGCGTCCATCTCCAGCTACCACCGGTTACAACAATGACAACCTCTGCGGTACCTTGTCTGTCACAGCGGCCCTTACACGGCTGCTGTTCAGCACCCGCGTCCAGATCCAGTCGCGGAGCTTGGACAATTGGACACCGACCCTCATCCCTGCCGCGGTGGTCTCTGCAGCACACCCGGTACTCGGAACCCAATAAGGCACAACCGGTCCCCGCAGTGCAGGACGTAAAAAATGAAATGGTGCCTAAAGGCTCTGTAGATGTCAGGATGGCATTGCAATTTCAATACAGTGACAGATTGTATTGACGATGGATGAGTTAAATCCTTCATTGCTTGAAAGACAACGAAGGCATGACCTAAGACTTTGCTTGTTAAAGAGACAGGGGTGATGAATTTACATCACCTTCCTCCTCTTAATACTCACCTCCATAGTTTGTGCCTGGTGCATGCCCTTGATGGCAGCAATGGCGTACTGCCGGGACGCAAACGTTACGAATGCACATCCTGCCAAACAGAACACAAAGTTAACATACAGCCAACAATCTACCAACGTACGGAGGACGCTGACAATCAAAAGGGATCATTGTACGAAGCTGATAAAAGCAGGGCGCCTGTCATGCCTGAAAGCAGATAATTCAACAGGGTTGTGATACGAAAGTGCCATTACTTTATACGGGACACCTCCCGAATCCGTATCGGCCCCGACTGCTCGGCCCCACACCGCACCTGAACGAGCCGGAAACATGCGCCGTCACACGCGACAAGACGTGAGGACCAATACTGATTACCGTCTGCTGCCCCGCGCCGCCGCGAATAACTGATCAGCCGAGAGGGGGTGGGCGGCGGACGAGGAAGAATGGAGAAAAACGCCGCGACAAAGAATCAGAAACGTGCTCAACTAGTGGACGTGATATCGAGACAAAGGCAGAGCCTGGTCAGGGAGTCATGTCTCAAAGCTTAATCAGGGAACAGTAACGTGTGTTTACTCTCATGTTGTTTCCTCAATTTCGTGATCTCTTGGGTATTCATTGCGCACACCACAGACGTGTCAAACCGTATTTGAAGCAACGGCATTTTTTCATCGCCACAGGAATGGGTGCGTCAGCGCGCGACCCAGTGTAACTGTAGCCCGCGCGACCGAGCGTGCCATGAAACCAAAGAGGTGTGTTTCACCGTGCAAAACGTGGCGTCGAGTTGCAGCATCACGTGGCGTCGTGTTGCAGCATCACGTGGCGTCGTGTTGCACGGCCGTCACGTCCAGACAAGCTCGGTAGTTCTTAGAGAGCCCCACGGGTCGAAACCACGGTCTACGGTTCTAAAAGGCTCAATAAATGGGGAGGAGAATTAGCACTTGCTTTTTACACCAGAAATGACATGTCCAACGTCGAACCCGTTCAATTTAAAAGCATTGACTGAGTGTGCGTTGCTGTAGTGAAATAAGCACTAACGTTGAATATCTCTAACTTAAACACACAATTCAACAGTTTTAAACCCGCTAACGTCCGCACAGTGTGCCCCCTTTGTCACCGTCCGCGCGGTAAGCCCACTCTGTTTGCTCGGTCACGGTTCCGTGTTGCACTCCGCGCTCCGAGATCTGCCGCAGCCTCCGCGCCACAGGACGCCGGCCCGGACCGAACCGGCCAGTCCGGACCGGATCGGATCGGCGGTATACCGGTTGTCGAAAATCCGGCACCACGGAGGTGCTCAGGGTCGGATTAGGGCGCTGCGGCGAGGCAGATGGGCTCGCTGACCGCACCGTGGTGTTCCGCAGAGTGCAGGAATTCCTGCATAGGCGCCACAGGATAGAGTTGTTGAACATCTCAGACGGAGGTCAGCGTCTTCAGGAAAACAACAGTTTTAAATTGGTGTCAGGCCTGCGAGACATTTTCGTTATGGTGTGGCCTAGCTTCAGCTTCGGTCGTAGATATAGGATTCAGAAGACAGCATGGTTGTGTGCGTCTAATCACTATGACATCGCCCCTAATGGCAGCAAGACATCGACCTCTTTAAGGGACGCCAGCCTTTGTTTTGAATCGATCGATGCGATAAGTGTGGTGCTGAGGCTGGCATTTGTTAGTCGCAAGAACTTGTAATGTTCCTGGAATGATGGTGGCAACAGTAAAGTGATATTTCGTAAAAGGCTAAAATGTTCGGCTACTGGCACACATGAGCGTGGCCGTTTATGTTACGAAGGGGGAAGAGTGTCGCGGTTTACATGCATTGAGACAATAATTGACATCGTACTCATCGTCTGTTTGACCGGCTCAAGTGGAGGTGCGCTTAGACCATGCAAAAATTATTTGCTCAGTATCTAGACATCAGACATGACTGCTGACTTGCCCGACGCCTAAAGGAATTTTCGCTCACGTTGTCATTTGACGCGCCTTTGAAGTCGCTATTCACATCTTGCTAAACATAATACCGGGGGGACAATGCATTCAAGCCAATGTGCCATAAATGACGAGAATTTAATTTACGTGCCGACATACTTACAGGGACAGGCTTAAGATGCACTTACGACCGCAGCCTCGTAAAGTGGACGCACGACAGTGGATGCATGCCACGGAGACCGGATTGCCACGTCAAATCGGTGAGAGAATCCGGAGGTCAGCGACCCGTACGAGCTGGGTATCGATGCTGAACCAAAGTGGATCCTGTGCTTATTATTTATCCAAAGCTTCAATAATGTTGAGACCGAGTTGTGGCATTGCATAGCTCACTGGTATCTTTACATTGCTGAAATACATACTTCGTTCAAGTGTCACAGGTACCACTAATTTTGTAATGGAGACTTTGAGAAACGCAAGTTGCAGAAAATGAAGACATCCTGCAATGCAATCCATTTCTAGTCGTAATGTATAGAACCGATTGCAATTTCAGGACATACAGGAGTCGCGAGCTGCTGCACGCTTGACACTGCTGCACAGTGCACACCTGATGAAGCGTGCACAAATGCACGGAAGACAATAAGGCACCGCATGCCTGGCCGCCCACCTGACATTTTACGCCCTCGTCTGACCGTTCAACAGCATTCCCAGGAAGACGCCACCCTCCCCTGAGACCGCATTCGCACGCAATGGTGGTCGGGAAGTGCTCACGACTGCACTCTCGGTCCCAGACGGCAGTCTGTCGCGAACATGGTGCCACAAAAACCACCGTGAGCTGGCTCAGAGTCACGGAGCGGGACAAACATAGCAGAGCTCAACAGAACTGACACCAGTTTATGACACGCCGGCGAAGGCCATAACATTGCAGTCGCGCCAGAGGCAGTGCCAAATTTCCGGTCATATAACTCTGGGGAGACACTCGAATATTTAGGCTTATGGTGGAGATGACAGCCGATGTAAATAAAAAGAAAAAGTAACTGCACAGGGTCTTACCCCATTTTTCATTACTAATGCCATTACCATTACCATTGTGATAGCAATCTGGAGCTTTGCACATTGGTTTATGCTGAAGCGTCGACATCGCCGAAATTCATTTTTGCGAAGTAAAACAAAATTCGCCACCAGTCGAAGCACCGTTCCCAAGCCCCTGCAAGGCTGTTGTATGTGACCGCGCGAATACCTATATACTAACCTTGGATTCATGGTGGAGCATATCGAAGCCCTTCAATTACTTTGAGAAGCCTTACGATGAATGACAGCCATCTCAGGAATAACGCATGGAAAACAACAAAACGCCGACAAAACGATTCCACATGTGCTTTAGGCAACACTATCTTGACAGGTATTTTCGTTCGGCTGTAAATCTCGGAATTAAATCCCGGAGGAGTGTTATGGCGACACCGTTAACACCTGAGTGAATTATACAGGCCGGGGTGTCCTGCTCGGCCGCCATTCGTCAGCGACGCCCGACGGACACAGTCGGCTCGGCCGACCGTGCCAAACGGGCGTACTTTATTACAGGTTATTTGTGCCACCGCCCTATCCAAAGATAACCAAACATACAGACTCTGGCGGATGTCGTGCGGTGTAATTGTAATGTGCTCCCACAACAAAAAAGGCCGATTTTCCTGTCGGATGCTTGCGCTCCGCATCGGTTGTCCAACAACATGTTCAGTTGCTGGCTCCAGAAATCGGGCTCGTCGTGTGCCCTGTTCTTTATGTCTGGCAGCGAGCGGCTCCCGAATTAGCCGGAGAGTATGTATGCCACGGGTCGCAGCTGATCAGCCCTGGGCCGCAGCACGGCTAGGTAGGAGTGATCAGGGCAGGTGGAAGCTGCACTTCATCGGCTCACTACTCGAAACACGTGCTGCCATGTGTGCAGATGGCCCGTGGGGTACCGGGTCGGCGTGCGAGTGATCGGGCGAGGAGGGAGGGACTTTACGTGCTCCAGATGTGGATGGCGATGTGATTCCAAACGACCTGAACAAGCTCATTTCTCATGAGCATCGATCAAGCCAAGCTGAGCCTCAGCTGCAGCTTTAGCTCAAAGCAGATGTGGTTTACCTGAACATGAGCCAGTCCCAGACCCATGCGCTCATCCTGCCCCTGCAAGATACCATCAATGACCCTCAAACGCGACCCAAACGAGTCGCGGACTCCAAGATGCGGGCTAGATAGGACCATACCCCTGAGATAAGACTTTCACCCCGCTAGTCGGCGCCCCAGATCCCAGAGATCAGTAAACCATTACCTAACCGTCGCCCGTTTCCCCTAGACGCGAGACGCCGCTATCAATCCCCTCCGAGCACCCTCGCGCATATCCCATCTGCTCGTGTGAACTGACCTTTACTGTGACCATTTTGGTCTCGCAGCACAGTACACTCTTCAATCTGGCCATAGGTCTGGAACATTGTCCGCACGTCGTTCTCGTTGCATTTCTTGCTCAGCATGCCGACGAATAGCTTCCGTTCTGCGGGAGAAGAAGTGATGACGTCAGTCTCGCGGTGGAAGTCATCGGCGGCAAACAGCAATTAGGGCCGCGTCCCGCTGGGAAGCCGGATGAGCGGACGGTAATTGGACGAGCACAAATTGGGGATGGAGAGGACCTCCCCATGGCATGGATCTGTATGTATTCTGTAGGTGTCAAGCCAAGTTCTGAAACTTGGTATAAATAAAATAAACAAACAGACTTTGCAGTCAGCCCGAAACACTGGATAAACACTATATTTAGTTCCATTTTTATTTTGATGTGAATGTGCCTGCCCAACATGAAAAATTCCTCAGCTACTTGTCGCTGGGGACGATCCAGCATCCATAATTTACAAGACTGACAGTCTCACTATTATATAATTGCAACGGCAAAAATAATATTGAGTCTGAGGGGAGGGCAGGGGGCCATGCATATTGCACACGCCAAAACAATAAGGTAAAAGTGTGAACAGAACGGCTCGGCTGCCTCATTCTTCGCATCAGCGATCGGCAAAATTAACTGCTAAGATCTGCCCGAAAAAAAAACAAGGGATAGGGCACAGCCTTAAGCTAGGCAAATGTCTAGTAGAATAATCATCACTTATGCAGTTTTCGAAGTTCCATGGTGGTGAAGGTCTCGGTATCACAATGTTTGAACTCAATAGAAAAACGCTCGAATTCAACAAGTTATTTTTGTAGCAATATGTGGAGCTAGGATGCTCTGGAGAATTGTTGGGCAATTGATGTCGACAAACAGTGCATGCCACTCCCATACAGCTGGTTCACATGCCTACAAAAACCTAACGACTTTGCGGGGTATGATAAAGTACATATGCTGTTTGCATTTCATTGCCCATCCAACTAAAACAAGCGGAAGCGAGTACTCAGAGTAAAGGCGATTGTTTTCAGAGCAAAATATTTGGATCGTTCGTGTACGGCTTCAATGCGTCAAACGAAAGGTAGTTCACGAGATGACTTTAGAAGAGCCAGATACCTGACTGAACATTTAGTCATGCTTGTAATGCAAATTTTAGTCATTTATTTTAACTAAATCAAATCTCATAACGATTTTTTATGTTACTTTTATTTTCACACACATCAGCAAATAAGCATGAGGTATGTCTTAGTGCTTAAAAACTGTCCTGATGGCAGAAGGAAGTCAAGATTCGTAGTTCCTACTACTCATCAGGGTCAATAAGAGCCAAGTCGAGCAAACTAAGTGAAAAGACTGCAATTTTTACCTTACGTTACCACAAAGTTAGCATTAGCAATGCGGAGGCAGTTCTCCCACATGCAATCCCAATTGATTGTGTTCTTCTGTTCGTCATTACGCTACAGGTTGAGGTTGAGTGCCCAGGGCACACCGCCCAGAGCTGTTAATGAGTTCATTATAGTGTCATGACCGATGGATTTGGAACTTTGGTGAGTAAAACCTACATGTAGATGCCGGATTTTCACAAATGTGTCGAAGGACAACGCCGTGGAAATAATAGGAAGCGTTAAAAGCCAGAGTTTTTTTTTTTCGCAATCAATCAACTCTTTCGTTGATCAATGTCGGTATCAACAGGGATTACAAAAAGGCAGTCATTTTCCCTCTTTTATCTAACAGCTCCTTTCCCTCCTTTATCCATTAGAAGAATAGGTAATATTGGTTCTCAGTCATCATAAAGGAGTGATGTAGCTACCAAACACTCAATATGTAGTAAGTCTATAACAACTTCGAGTAACAACTCGCCTGTTGCATGTTGAATGTTCTTTCATAAAACGTGGTGAAACAAAAACACACATACCTACATGCCCAATGTGCATTGCGTAATACAGAAGCTACACTTGCACTGTTTGTTAAAAGAAGTTAAGTAATTCAGGAAAAAAAATTCGAATTACTAGAACAAACTCTGAAAAAGATCGCTGAAGATAACATTTCAGTTGTTAGCAACAAAACAATACATATTTTTAGAATGCTCATTCACAACACGCTATGTAAGCTTAACTGGACACCGGCATCATCTAGCTTTTTTCATATTCCCATTGCTTGTTCGTCACGATAAGGACCATAAATATCCAAAGTCAAACTGACAACAAACGCAAGGCAGTCGCTACAGGAGGCCTTTAAATTTCGTCTTCGCGTGCCGCGCCGCCGCGGCAGGGACACGCGATGGGGGGGGGGGGGGGGCGTCCGTCCGTTGCTGCGGCCCCGGCTCGGTACTTATTGATAGGGCTCCAACCCGCGGCGAGTGTGGCTCAAAGAGCGCCACTTCTGCCGCTGATATGGCTACCAAGCGACAGTGACATACCCACACCAGTGTGACTGCGTAGAAGGGATTTGGAAGCAAATTTTTGTTCTGTTGACGCAACGCAAAATACATGTTCGAAGTGCATTGAGGTTTGCTGGTAAAAATTAGTCCGGAATCTCGAGCAAGTCATTTATACGTTTTAATGAGATCGGATGGTGGCAGTATGGGAAGATCGGTTACATAAAATGACGGTATTCATAAATGTATCAATACATCAAACTTCGTTGTTGTGTGCAAGCTACTCAGTGCGAACAAATGGCATGGATCGATGTGTGGTCTCCCTTACATTGCTGGTGTAACTGGTTGCCCTAACATACTGTTCCACCCCCAGCAGCGCGGCTGGGGCGGCGCGGTGAGCCAGCCCTGCACCCACTTGTCCCTGAGGCCGGGCCGGGGCGGCCGGGCGCGGTGCGAACCAGTCAGTGTGTTGTTTTGCTGCTGTGTGGCGGCACACGACACCACCCATGCGGCGGCGGTGTGCGCCGGCGGGGCTGTTTGCGCCAGGTACGCCGTTCAGCACACTGAACCTTACGCGCCCGGGCGAGGCCGGCAGGACAGGACGGACAAACAGGCCTGGACGGTGGGATGGGCGGTGACGGTGGCGGTGGGATCCAGGGCAAACAGGTCCGACGGAATGCCACCGCCGCCGCCGCGCCGGTCCGTGCCACTGTCCCGCCGGAGACCCGGCTGGACTACTAACGCTGGAGGCTAGTGAACGGCGCCCACGTCGCAAGGGAGCTGCGCAGTGCGTGGTGGATACACGCGGCGGCAGCGCAGAATCACAGACAGAACGAAGGGCGTCCGATCGGTACGAGACAAAGGCAGAAAAAGGTGCTGGTCACACAGTCCAGCGGGCTGCAGATTAGGCAGCAGATGGCTGGGCAGACGCTGCGCCGGCCGGCCATCGCCGCTACAGGTTGACACCCAACAACGCCGATTAATTGGGCGATAAGACGGCCACCTAATGCTAACTGGAAACCGGTAGGGACGCTCCAACGAGGCTGACTTGTTTTTGTAGTGCTCGACAGAAAATAACATCGCATCGTCGTCATAGTGGAATCAATCGCTTGATTGAGAAGCACGAATAACAGGTGCGGGATTCCAGTGCACACCTGTGATTGGCAATCCTAAGCAACTATTTATAAAGTAACTATTAGAAACCTTTACATAGTGAATAGTGATCTCATCACTGCCTAATGAGCCAGCATACGCGCCATCTGAGGACCAATGAATGCACAAGCAATGCTCAATGACATCATCAAACCCAGTCCGATCGTGCACCCTCACTGCCATTTGTTTCGCTGTCAGTTACCTTGTTTGGAGTAGACCTGGTAGGGTGAGAATCCGATGGGAGCCTTCAGGTGGTAGGGTACCACCTTCTTGGCCTTCATGGCGACCGGTGCCGGCTCCACGGACATGGTCACCGGCCCGGCGAATGGACCGAGCGCTGCCTCAGCACAACTCAGTTTGGCTTAGCTCTGGCTCAGACTGAGAATCAGGCTCAGGCTCAGCTCGGCTCGGCTATAGCTCAGCTCACTAGGCAGCACAGCTCCTGAGTGAGCTCAACTCCCGACACCAGTTTTCCCAGAGTTCAATTTGTCTGGGCTCAGTCGTGCTCTACCGAGCACCGTTTCTCTCCGTGGCTCAAAGCCGTGCCGAGATGCCAGTCCAGTCAAGCCAAGGTCTTCTCAGCTCAGCCGCGCGTCACGACTTGCTCCACGTGCTCCCGCCGCCGTCGTGCCCGCCGCGCACGCAGACACCACCTGCACCGTCGAGCCGCGGCCGCACACTGCCGCCGCCGCCGCCGCCGCGCCGACCGAGCGACCGTCAGAGCGGGCAGGGACCGGCCCTCTCACCGGTCCGACCAGCGTCCCACGGCGCGCGGCGCGCACAGGTGACGCCGCCGCGCCGGACCCGCCGCGCCGGTCTCTCCGAGAGAGGACACGGTCGTGGAGGCGGTCCGGTAAGATGCCACGGTGGAGGGATGGGTCGGCGTGAGACTCGAGGTGGAATTTGCGGGGTTGTGGTAAAGCGGCTCACTGATTGCTAGCCAGCAGCTCAGAGAGATGTGTGGAGCAGATTACCGCCAGACCTGACAGAAGGCTCGGTGTTTTAACTTTTAGAACTATCCTGCCCTGGACCCTTGCCGAATCCAACCCACCACGGTACGGCCACTATCGCGCTGAGCCCGGTACCGCCCTCACCACCACGTCACACTGCGGCCGATGTCGCCGCAGAAAAACGTCTCCGTGCCGCCGCGGCCGTGCCACAGCGGACTGCGAGCAGCGCCAAAACGTGACTGGAGCACAGCAGCGTCCGCCCTCCCTCCGCAGGGCCACCACCGCTGCCGCCACCGCCGCCGGGGCTCAGTGCTGGCAGCGGCGGTTCGGTGCACCGTTCACCGGGATCAGCGCGGGAAAAATTGGCGCCGCACCAGGCGAACGGGGAGAACACAGAAGAGCTGTAAACCACGAACTGACTTGGATTGGAGTGTGGAGGAATAAAGACAGAGCGGTTTCCACTTGAAATCTGGCAAGGAAGCAATACGGAACTAAAAGCAATCTGCGATGATTTTTCAGAAGTCTCAAGCTGAAGCGCAAAAGACGTCATCGACTAGACTCATTGCCAAAGGTGTAATTTATTTACAATTTTGTATTATATTATCATTCGGTGAAGTGAAGCCTTGTGAATAGGGACAAGGGTTGAC